ATTGCGTGACTCATCGCCGGCCGGACAAGTGCTGCCCTCGCGTGCGCAACACTGCCGACGATACCATAGCAGTATAACCGTATCAAACATGGCTGCCGAGTGAATAGTTTTCAACTTAAACGCATCACGTTTCCGGTCAATCATTACATTTTTGCAGTAGGTTGGAATGATTATTTTTACTACCTATTAAATTTTTTATTCAGCTTTTGTAATTGTACTTAATTTTAGTTTTAGTGTACTCATCGTCTTCTAAGACACAATAATTTTAATTTTTTCTTTTCAATTGTTTCATGATTGTTGCTGTCTTATTTCACATTAGAAGTTAAAAGGATAAAATTACATGCTGTTGGGATTTATGGTGAATCTTACGCCGTAAATTAACGGTATTGTTGGATTCATATACTATATTAGAGACTATTACCGGACGCCATCCGTAGGTACGCCTTTGGCTAACATTTGTCGCACAGGTATGTTTTAAAAAAGTTAATTATTATCGTGACTCGCACGTGTAGCTTTTAAATGAAATATAACATTTCGATTTTTGAACTTAATTTTCATATCTTAGGTCAAAAACTTATTTTATTGTCAGTCTATTGTATTAAGTATAATAGCCTCGTGGTGTTTCCTCACGTTCAAAGATAAGACGTAATTTTTTTCTAATTTGTGTTCAAATAATATTAGATTCTAATGTTAAATTTATGAAATAATTTTTAGTCTTTCGATTTAAAATTATCTGGTGTGTATAGTTTTACTACTTCTTATAATTTGTAAATTTTAAAGACTTATTTAACAATATGTATGTAAAATTTAAAGTGTTATAGTAATGAACAAAATATTTTAATACAATTAAAAATATCCATATGTCTAAAACATTTTACCTTTGAGTAATAGATATTAATAATACTGAGTTGCCTTGAGGTCAATGTAATTTCTTGTAAAAGTGATGAAATTTAAAGTTATGGTGTTGATAAATTACACGAAAACATTTTTATAGAAATATAACTATTATAACATTATAAAATTAAACAAAATCAATATTTGATCTAATGACAATGTCATTTTAAGTATTCTTTTAACAATGTATTCTCTGTCCCAATTATCTTGTGAAAAAATGGTTTTACAATTAAATAAATATTACAAGTATTTAAATTAATTAGATTTTATTAATTTTAAAACTTTTTAAGTCTATTATTTCAACCTGATTACTATACAAATTATTAATGCCTAAGTAACATAAAATTCATAAATACAGTATTATGAGAAATCTATAATACATAAATAAAATTAGGTGTTTGAGTTGATTTAACAATTATTATTATTTTACCTAAATTGCTTAATTTTAGACTATTAATCATAACTACAGTTCTTGATTCAAGTACTTTTTTTGATAAGTGCCAAATGCTAGTAAAATGTATGGACCTGAAAAATAATCATCGAGATAAGATTAAATATATCATAGACATGTTTTTGCTAAATAAACATTTGTTAGCGGGTTATCATTTATTATTAAAGTATTAGATAGCAAAATGTTGTACTTCATTGACATTCTTTTAAAATTTTTATCATAGTAAATGTAAAATTTAATGATTTATTAATTAAACCATTAGGAAATTAATAAAAAAAATTGTCTTCAAATTATGACTTTGGAAAAAATTAAAAAAAAATTGTGTTGAGTTTAATTCAAAGGGTTTGTCTTTTGTTATCATTTTATTTAATACAAAAAAATATTATAGATCGTTAATAAAAATATTAAAAAAATTTTAAGTGAAGAAATTAAACACTAGTTTTTCTATTTTAAACCTTAACAATTCTATGAATACATTCAGTGTTATCTATAAATAATCAAATTATTGATAAAAACAGATTTATTATGGTTAATAAGATAAAAAAATATTGATTATTTTTGTTTTATTAACTCAAGTTAACAATTTTCAAGTTCTAAATTTTATTAGTGTAAGATATTATACAAAATAACTTAAAATACTGTATTGTTACATGACAATTAAATATTATCAATTTGTTTAGAAATTATCTTTCTGTGTTTATCAATAATCAAACAAATTTTTTGAGTTTTTTGTGCTGAATTAATATTTTATTAATTATTAATTAGAACCATTTTTGTGCTATATTTCAACAAAAATATAATTTCCAGTAAAGTTTTTCAATTATAACCAAATTACCTATATTATTTTTGGAAATAAAATGATTCTGATGAAGTATCTAGGTTCAATTCTATTCCAAATAGTTAAATTAATTTTCTTCTCTCCTAAAATAGTAGTATTTGAAAAAAAATTATTTCTTCAATTTAAATGATACCTAAATTTCAATTGTTGGAATAGTTTATTTTCATATTAATTCAATAATTAAACAGTTAAATGGTATTTTTTTAAATTATCAAACAATTAATATTGGAATTTTAGAATAATTCCAAAACTGATTGTTTGTTAGATATTATTACAATACCTATATTTATTATTATTTTAATTTTAGAGAAGAGTTTCAACAAAATTTCATTGGGAAATAATTTTTTAATTGCTCTTTTTTTATGTTAACTAAGATTCTTAAGGATAATTTAGATCATTTATTTTGTTGGTTATATTAATATTTTTTAATACTTTTAATATCAATAAATACAGCCTTGTTTCATTTAATGATATAGTTTAAGCTATTTTTACATAAACATTTGTTAAATGATGATTGAAAAAAGTGCTTAGAAAATGTAGCCTGAGAATATATTTTTCAGGGCTTTAAAAACATTAAAAAAAAAAAAAAGAGTTAATTGGTCTCTGCAAAATCGAATTTTTACTTAAATCCAGTATAAATATAGGTTTTGCAAAATGTGCCAATTACTGTTTTTTTTTTTAAATTAAGAAAATAAACCTTAGCCACTACAAACCAGTTATGATTTTTGGCTATTGGTAATTGGTATAAATCGGTTAGTAATAATATAAAATTTAAAAATAGTTATTTTCACAAAAAAAAAATCAGGAATATTGTTCAATAGACACTTTTCTAGTGTATCTTTAACTTTTAATTATTTTTTTTTTCATTGGGGATTGACATAAAATTACTTCTGTAGTAATAACTGCAGTAGTACAGTTAGTCTTTGCTGAGGAGGTATACTTAAAAAAATATTTTTCTGCTCCCCTAAAAAAAAAGAAATTGTATTTTAACAGTGTGATCATTTTTTTTACTGAGAGACATTAAAGACAAATTCTCTAATGTGTTTGTTGAGTACATGTAAATAATTAAAAAAATATATATTCAATTATTGGTAACAGATTATTGTTATTACTTCTAAAACAAAAAAATGTTAGTAATCACTTCTTGATGAAAAAATATGATTTTAATTGATTTCAAGCTCTGACGATTTGTTATAAATTTGTTGACCATTTAAGCTCGAGTAATAATTTTATATGTATAAAACATCTGAGTTAAAAAAAAAATTTTTTGTGTAGTTTTTTATATAAATCTAAAATTAAAAAAAGTTTTTCCACTATATCTGTACATTGATAACATTTTCATTGAAAAATGTTGATAATTTCAAATGCAAATATGGAATGGCACTCCAAAAATTCTCCAGTTCTCTTACATGACCATAATAAGGAATTGGCCTTGTATTTTATAATAATATAACCAGAGTAGGTAGTCACAGATTTCCATTCTAGTACTATTTTATGATAAATTCTTTATTATGATATTAATTATTAATGTTGGTTTATTTTAGTACAGTTATCTTAAATCTTCTGAAAAATATTTTTTTTGGAATTATTAATATCCTGATGAGGGAGAGTATTAAAGAAATATGTTTTTCTCTTTAATCGTAGTAATGAAGGGGGTAAATATTTTGTGTCTTAAGTTGTTGACCACGCCCGCTCCTAGCTACGAGGCAAATTTTTTTATGAGTGACAAATGTTAGCTGGGACGTTTTTTGATCCTATCGCCAGACGACCGTTGTTGATTTATATATACACATTCGTGTGCACAGCAGTTACTCTCTTGTCTCTGACGATGGCTGACCATTTAACGTCCGGCAACAGCAGCAGCCAACGTTAATCCATGACGAACACAAAACCGCTGTTGCCATATCTCAGCGGCGGTTACGGTGGTGAGCCATTCGGCGCGCGCGCGCGACGTATACGTCCGTCTGCCCACCCTCGCGCGCGTGCCTGTCACGTTCCTTTGGATGTTGGTGTTATGGCGGTGATGTCCGGGGGCCGACGTTCGTCGCGCATACCTATCGATCGAACGCGGACCGTTTTGCTCATACACTCGACACTACGCATGCGTCATCCACCCGGCGGTGTACAGTGTTCGGGTGTTGTGCAGCTATCACGTCTCGTGATGCTCTCGCTATCGATAGTAATTTCATACTCGATCTCGTGCTAGGCACTCGCAAAAATGTATTATTTTTTCAAAACAATTTTTTGTCGCTCATGAAAGCGTATTAGCGTTTCAATTATTGTCCATTCAGATTTCACTTTATTTAATATGACCGAGACTAATTATGAAATTACGTGTTTAGTCTTCAAATGCCTATTAAAGGAAATTTCGAATTATTGTATCACCAAAAACCCTGACCTCAGTCCTACGTTCGCAAACTTGTTATTAAATCGCTCATTATTGCGTATCTTAATAACCTAAATAACCTTTTGAAATACGTTTTTTTCGATTTGTATTTATGAATTATGAAGACGATTTCTCGTGTCCAGATACCCCTTTTTTAGGCTTTGCTTGATTGACATAGTGGTTATTGTAAATCAGGGCGTGTGTATTTTTGTTGTCCGAACGGGAAGGTCAAATTTTATATGTCGGTTCGTTATTATCATAGGCAGTGGCGTGTAGTAGAATTGCGCGCTTTACAAATTCAAATGAAATCGAACGCGTGTCAGAAACAATCGATTGTGTTGCATACGATAGACAGCCTTATTGCGTAGTAGCTAGTGGGGATAGGACGCAGCGTCCGCGTTTTAGCTGCGCCCGCCGCCGTCACCGCCAGTCCTCTACTCCACAGCCCGTCGTCACCACGCCACCCTATTATCATTATAGTCCGTCTCGTTTTCAATCTCGTTCGGCCACGAAACGTACCGACACCGCCTCGCGCACACCGTACACTTATATTATCACATAAATTATATTTATCTATTTAATTGTACAGAAATAATAATAATTGTTTTTAAATATTTCGCCGATATCTTCTATTTGCGTGTTTTTTTTATTCTGTGCGCATCAACGCCGACGATAGTGCGTTTAAGCAATCGTGGCTACTGTACATTTTTGAAGCGTATTTCCACCAGTCCGCACGCATCCATTATAGGTGAGTATGCCGGCAGTAGAACTATTCTATTTTTAAATTACCCGGTTGCCGCTTGCCTGTGTATAGTTTAAGTGCTGCGCACTAGGCCCTGTGGTTTTTAGTTGGGTTTAATATCTACAAAACCCTTTTGATACTTTATCTATGATGGCCCTCACTAACGAAAATATCTTTTGCCAGATATCTAGTGTGCCGTATGGTGTTTTGAAGGAAACACTCCTCTTAATTTCAAATGATGGAATTCCACTGTTTTGTCACGCGTTCGAAAATATCGCAGGTGGAGTATCGTTATCATTGATTCCTTGCATACAATGAAATACGTAGATATGTAATTCATGTCATGCTGTAGTGATTTTAGAGAAATACCATTTTGCAGCCGCATATCACGTTCTGCGTGTGCACCGTGGGTCGCAAATGAATAATTGATCTGATCGGCCCTCCTATTCTTTCGCCTGAGACGTGGTAGTAATAATGAAATTGATAACGCACTACTTATGTTGTGCGTCACGCGGGAATGCGTTTGCTCGCTTAAAGCACATTTCTACATGCTAAAATCATGATCGATGAATCATGTTATTCTTGGTGCAATTTTGTAGCAATCGTCATAAAACATAATACTTCGTTATAATATACGTTGCAGTCGCAATAGACTGTAACACTTTTAGTGCACATTAATCATCGCATAATAATTTAGTATTGACGATTGATTATTATTAGATTAATACCTAAATTATGTATAAGAAAAACAAGTATGAGTTGTTACAAATTATTAGTAATAAAAATGTTATAAATTACTGAAATAAAATCAATTACCGAGTAGTTACTTTATGTTGTAAAATAATACTGTTTGTATCTATATCCAATGATCAAAATGGTGCATATAAACGAAATTAAATTAAAACCTTGGTTGAAATATCAAAATATTTGATACTTTAAAGTTATCATTTTAGTGGAACTTCAAGTAACCATCATTAGTTTATCTATCATCAAAGTGTAAAGACATGTCCTAATCAGTATAGAGTCATGAATTTTAGACCTATCGATAAATGAATGACGGTTAATCATAGTTTCCATTATATTTGTTCAAAGAAATAATCAAATTTTTAGGAGAAAATTTTGTTTAAAATGAGATTTAAGGTAGTCGTATTGTATTATTTTTAATAATTTTTATTTTATTTTATTTTAGGTTAATTAAGTCAGTTGGTCAAGTTCATTAACAAATGTCTGGAGATAAAGAGGACTCGGTTCAGAGAGCCAAGCTGGCCGAACAGGCGGAACGCTACGACGATATGGCCAGCTCAATGAAATCTGTTACTGAAACTGGTGTTGAACTCTCCAATGAAGAGCGAAACTTATTATCAGTAGCTTATAAAAATGTTGTTGGTGCTCGTAGATCATCATGGCGAGTAATATCTTCAATTGAACAGAAGACCGAGGGTTCTGAGAAAAAACAACAAATGGCTAGAGAATATCGGGAGAAGGTTGAAAAAGAACTTCGAGACATCTGCTATGATGTACTGGTAAGTTAAATCAACACTTGTGTACAATTAAAATATAAAAATAACTTTATTTCTTAAAATTAATTTTTCTTTACTTTTTAAGTAAAACATAAATTTAAAAAAGTATATAAATTAATATGAACAGTAGACACTTGCTACTTAGTGACAGTTATATTACTATTTCAGAATCTGTTGGACAAATACCTTATCCCTAAAGCAAGTAATGCTGAGAGCAAAGTCTTTTACCTTAAAATGAAGGGTGATTATTACAGGTATCTCGCAGAAGTAGCAACTGGAGAAACTAGAAATGGTAAAATATATTGGATAACCATTTTTTTTGTACTTATTAATTAAGAATAGTAAATTTAAGAATTATTCATTTAATTTTGTTTTATAAATGTCTATTTTTTTTTACCAAAATAAGCAATTTTAATATTAAATTTTATTGTTAAATGATGTAAATTCAACAAACTTTCGTTCTTCTGATATAAGTGAGGAATAAATCATACTGATTTCATTAAGTTCATAATAAGTTATATTTGTTTAATTATACTTATATTTATTTGATAATGAATGGATACAATATTACAATTTAAGTAATTATTAACCAAAATTTCTGGATTGACTAGTTATTTTATAGGACAGTTATTTAACGAATTGCTATTTTTTATTACTTTGAGGCACTACTATGTTAATTAAATTTCATCTAATTACGTGTATATATAAATACATATACATAGGCAGCGTCCTTTTAAAGTAAGGTACCGTTTTTAAATATCACGGTTACAGCGCTGTGGTTAATGTTTGGAGCAGGCTCGCTGTATAACTAGATCTGTTGGGAAGCCGTTGATGCCATTATGTAGGCATTCAATTGTGTTAATTCTAATTCAAAACTTGTTCTAAAAAGTGAAAGAAAACAGACGATTCATGCTTCATCTTTGTCTCAAGAATTTCTTGCAGATTCAAGAAGTCTTCTCTATAAAATTGTGGTCAATTGATTAAATTATGGATAGTTGTGTGCTCGCTTACTGGGTTTCCAAAAATGTTGATGGAGGTGCACAAGACCAAATATTTGGTCATTGCATTGAGTATTTTTGTGTGTTACAGAAATGAGGGCGATAGTTTTTGAAGCCATACTATTACAGGCAATAAAACATGAGTTTTCATATAAATAAAAAAAATTTTACTTATTTTATTTTTATTTAAAAACAGTACTTACTTTAAAAACACGCCTTGTATTTATTTGATAAATCTTAATGTCACATGATGTTAGTTAAATAACTTTCGTTCTACTGATTGAAATTGAAGAATGTTTTTTTTCACTGATGATGTTTGTTTGAGATTTTACAAATAATTTTTTGTTAAATTTTTTTATATATGTTATTTATAAGTAGCAGTGCCTCTTTATTTAGTAAATTTTGGTTAACTCACTTCAATATTTTAGAGTTGAGATTCTATTTGATTATTATGAGTATTTAATTGGAATTTAACATTGCATGAGACTTTCAAATTTAATGGTTTTTAAAACGAAAAGTATTAACTTATTGATAATTTACTAACTTGTATATTTGTAGTAATATCATATGATGTTCAAATATTAACTTTCGTTCTTCTGAATATTTTTGAGGAACTAATTTTTGCCTGATGATTTTTTAATAACATGATAAATAAAAATGTGAATGACTCTTATCTAGTTACTATTTTATATGAATTTTAATAGTAATGTCTTATTTAGATATATTTGTGTTAATTAAAATAAAGATGTACATTTACAAGTTAAGCTAATTTTATTCTCGCATTTACTAATGATACTAAATTTGTTGAGCATTAACTATTAATATAATAAAATAATTGTTTGTCATAAAATAGCTGTGGTTGAGGACTCTCAATTGGCATACCAGGATGCATTTGAGATCAGTAAAGCAAAAATGCAACCAACACATCCAATCCGGTTGGGTTTGGCGTTAAATTTCTCAGTATTTTTCTATGAGATTTTAAATTCACCAGACAAAGCTTGCCAATTGGCAAAACAGGTATTTATAACACAGTTTATAATCTTTTTTTTTTTTTTTTTTTATTGGTATTTAGGGGTGGTGGATGATTCTCAAAAAGCATATCAGGAAGCATTTGATATAGCTAAGTCTAAAATGCAGCCTACTCATCCCATAAGACTTGGATTGGCATTGAATTTTTCTGTTTTTTATTATGAAATCATTAATTCCCCAGCTCGTGCTTGCCATTTGGCAAAACAGGTACCCTGATTTCCCATACGCCTCAACAATTTTTGAATGTGTAAAGTGCTATTTAATAAAATTCTTGAGCTATATTTTGTAATTTCATTTCACTGACAAAAAATCAATTGACCAATGATTAAATATATTCTTTTAACATGTTTGATTTGATACGCTTCTCTAATTATAAACTTTATTATTACTACTGGGCAGATTATTATATGCATTATTTTTAGTTATCTTACTCCGAGTCTGATTGTACTAGTTCAAATTTCATAAATTTATGGTTGTTTTCATATTAGTTCAATTTAGAAGTAATGTTTGTGTGTACACAAAAATAGAAATAATTCATAGACTAATTTTTTTTAACAATTATTATTAAGGCTTTTAAATTTACATTTGTTTTGTGTAACTAAAGAAATTTTAATTTGTTTAAATTATGAAATTGTTAAGTAATGTGTCATATTTGTAGGCATTCGATGATGCAATAGCCGAGCTGGATACATTAAATGAAGACAGCTACAAGGATTCAACGCTCATCATGCAATTATTGCGTGATAATTTGACGTTATGGACGTCCGACACACAAGACAACGATGAGCCCCAGGAAGCAACTGGAGACAACTAACTCTTTTTACTAAAAACATTAAAAACAAAATAAAAAAAAAACTATAATAATTTTTAATAAAGCAAAACAAATATTTACACACTTCTGCGAGAATCTGCGCCCCTTCATCTTCCACCATCCCCACTACTGCGCTCTCACAACACGCTCTTTGTTTATCCTTTCTTTTCTTTTTTTTTTTTTATACCAGTTCTTTAAAAAAAACAAGAAAACTTTGAATATGAATAAATAAACACATTTTTTTCTTTATTAGTCTATTAATTATTATTGAATGTTTATAACTATTATTATATAGAATTATTACAATAAAAAGAAAATTATATATATATCATATATATAAACACATTTGAAAATATTTCATTTCAAAGTTCACACTTTTTTCAAACATTGAATACTGGTATAAACTGTATTAAGAACAATTTTTTTGTTTGGCAATTAATGTCTTTTGGATATTTTATTTGTAAAATTTTTTTGCCAGAATTCAATGCGAGACACCATCCACTATACAATAGTTTCGAAACCAGTTTCTCTTGAACAATTGACTAAAATCATATTTATTAAATAATATTGTATACAATCAAGTTAATGTTAAATTATTATGTAATTTATTTGATGAAATGTTATTAAAATATCATTTAATATAGTTAGTTTCTACTTTGATTTTAGCTTATTTCATATTCTGGTTTCGGAAACCTATCCATTACTCATTGAATAATTTTTATTTATACTTATTAAATATAGGTCATTTCACTGTGATCTAGTTAGTAACACATTTCCTATCTGGATTATCTAGATTTGATCTATACTTAAACACATTTTTTTCAAATCTTGTAATTGTACTTATAATTTATTATTTAAATTAAACATTCAATGAGCAATTTATTTTTCCTCGCTTTTCCATGTTCTATCTGTCTCGTAAAGTTTTTTTCATTACGACGCGGCCTGACAATTCACTTAGATTTGATTTTAACAAAAATATTGATATATAAGTGTTCCATTTTGAAAATTTTTATACAATGTATGTGGTAAAAATTAAATTATTAAACCATTGATACAAGTTTTCATTTTATGTATAAGCAGCCATTGTAATTGTATAAGAATGCACATTTATTATTTTGCAATTTGTTTAATTTAAAAAATATATATATATATATACATTTATACAGTGGTAGCTAAATTTTAAAGTAATTTACTAAGATTGAGTGTTGCCTTTTTCTTCTATCCTTTAACATTTTTAAGATGTGAATTATTTTGTAAATTTACGAAAAAAACTTGTTAAAGGTAACAATGATCTATCGAGTGCAAACTTCAATTGGCTACAATATACCACTAGTTCAAACAAAAATGACTAAATTTTTGTAAAATGATTAATGTGTTGTTAAAACCTCTTTACAAAAATAAATGTGTTGAAATGAGCTCATTGTCTGCATGTTATTTGTTACCAATATAATAGTTTTATTTCAAACGTAATTACTAAATTAATTTTTATTTATGTAGTTATTATGTTGAACCATCATTGGTATGACTAATTAAATTATTCGTATGGTATTATGTTGAGAATTAGTTTACTTGTCTTTATTACGACATGAAGTATAAACAAACGGTTTACCTAAGCGAATTGGAGTAATATTTTTTTTGATTTGTTACTCCATTCCGAAAATATAAATTTATTGGCGGTATTACTATTTAACGCCTTCTATTTTATTTCCTATGTAGTAAATAGCTAAAAAAGATATTAAATAAATTTCCATATTAGTATAGTATAATATTTTAAATTCTTAAGTAAAATTATGTCATGTAAGAGAAAAATGGTGGGAACAATAATAGAGACATAAAATAAAGAGACACAAGTAAAGTAAAAAGGTATTGACGTTTAACTTTAGTAGTTCATCAACTGGAGGGATTGGGGCTGACCAGTGTACCCAACAGCAGGACTTTGGAAGAGCCAAAACGACGAGCTTGCTGTTTATAGCGTTAATTTATTTTTGTGTCTACATCGCGGTATTACCGACGTATGACATGTTAATATGACGTCGACTTCCAAAGTATAAATTTAGAATTGAAATGATTTAAATGCAACTAGAAGTATTTAACTTTAGAAATTTACAATTACAATAATTGTTATATTTTAATAATTAAAATGCATAAGACTAATTAGTCGATCTAGCTTTATAATTTACTCTTCAATTAATAAAGGGTTGTCAATTGTAGCTAATGAAAAAAAAACATGTTTAACAACATTAAAAATATTTGGTTTTGAAATCGCTTTTGGTCCTTTCATAATTAATAATTTTAAAAAGTATATTTAAATTTTAGACGCGACTTCAATTTTTATTGTTATGCTAGTAATAAATAATTTTTTTTTGAAAACTATTATTTAGTTATAGCATAAATGAAATTTGCTTTAATGTATTCTAACATTTTATTAACACAATACTGATATCGAAATTTTTTAAGCATACCAGTGTTGATTAATGTTGGGCGTATTGTATAGGCAACTTAATTGTCAATAAATGTGGAGAATCATGTTTATTACTACTTGATATTATAGCTAATGACTTGGGGAAAATTTTTATGGGAATTTTCTAATACTATAATAACAGAAACCAGTCATTTATAATCTTCTTAAATCAGTGCATTCATGTATTAAATCTTGAATGTTGAAGTCAAAATGGAAACAATTGAGTATTTCAGACTTCTCTTAGAGTCGGAAAGCTGTTCAAAAAATACTAATGACGTAGAATTACTTTAGAGGATCATATTGTCAAAAGTCTTAATATGTGTCTGTCCTAGAGCATTGACGGTGTTTGGCTGGTTGTCAAACTAAAAAGATTTTGTTACAAACGTCATTCTAGCTTGTTAATTAAATAACAATCTGGTTTGTATAGTCTATTAGGCTTTTAAGAATTATTTTCTTGATTATTTAAAAGATGAGATTTTCTAACAAATACGGTCTAAATAAACTTAAACACTTGTACCAAGTAATGAAACCGAAAATAACACAGTACTCAGTTTGTTAATAATTTATGTACTTATATAAATTAATTTTTTATGGTTTTTAAAAATAGGTAAAGTTTTGAGTATCATAAACATTTTATTAGGAATCAAATTGTTTGTATATGAAAATGAAAATGAAAAACTATTAACTATGTTAATTTCAAGTTTTATTCACGAAATTCCATTAATGTGTTAATACGTTTACTATTGTAATTTCAATTTTATATAAACTTGACCCTTGTGAGTTTTATGCATAATTTTTAAATTAATTACTGTATTAAATAATTTGACCTTCTGAAATATATTTAGTAATCATGCAGATGTATAACACATAAATGACACTAAAAATATTAGGTTTTCTCTCACTACTTTCAAATACACAAAAGAACAATAGTGATCTAGCAAAGAAAGTAGACCTGAGGTATTTTTAGATTAGAATTAATTGATACCTGGCAGTGATTAAAATCACTGTCGTAAATCGTTCCGATGTGTGCATTTGAAATAAATTTAAAAAAATGTAATATTTCCACCAAAATATACATGATTTATTTATTTAAATTACATGATAGAAGACAATTTGTCAGAACGTCTTCTTTTTTTTAATCAAATGAGAAATTTTTTGAAATAAGCTAAAAAATTTGATTTAGTTTTGATCTTTTGAATTTGGAGAGTGATCAAGTTTCAAAGACTAAAAAAATTTTTCTAGCTCTGCTCGAAATGAAGTACCTAAATTTCTATTAATTTATTTAAAATAAACAATCATACATAACATTGTATACATACATATCTTCTTATTTTGACCATAGTTGTTGAAACCAAAATATATTACTATATTTAAGGTAAATTACACCTAGTGATGTAACGAAAGAATAATTCTCAAAAGAATTATCTCGGTTCGGAGTTGTTCTTGAAAATATCCTTCTACATTTTGTTACTGATAAATATATAAAAAAAGTGGAATTAAAAAATTTGTTTAATATTATTTGATCACACCGAAAAATATTTTGAAGTAATGTGTGAAGAAAATCAAGTAATCTTTTACTTGATTGATAGTCGTATAATAACAAATATATGAAAAATTTTCTAAAAAAAATTTGAATCAAAAATGATCCTATGGATTCTAATTATTATTATTTTGTAATTCTACGGCTTTTCAATGTTTTTGCATTTATATGACTTCTTAATATTACATTTGTTATTGTTTCGAAGACAATAATAATATTATTATAAACAATAACATTCCCAAAAGAAACATTTTAGTATAGATGCAATCCAAATATTTTCAATAAAAAAATTCAACGTTTTTTTTTCAAATAAATTAATTTGAACAAATTCTATTATATTTTTTTAACTAAATTACTTTGAACAAACCAAAAATGAAGGAAATATGAAATGCTGAAAATACTTTCTTTATCTTTTTACAAAAGTTTCTATTAACGCTATAAATTGAACTGTTAAAAATGATCCAAAAATTTCTACACGTCAGTATGATATTTTTAATATACACGTAAATTTTATACATAAATAATGTAATTTTGATATAAAAATTTTGCAATAAAAACTTCCAATAGATGTATGTGAAAATTCCGACATTTTTGTTATGATTGTACACGAAGAAATATATGTAGTTTCTGACATGGATTAAGTCAAAGAGTTAACCATATTATCATACAGCTAAAAAGTAATATTTTTTATTAACAAAATACTTATTATATTCGGTACCAATACTTGGTTATAGTAATTCCACGAAAAATAAAATGGGACAAATAGTTTAAATAATTTTTTTCTAAAAATTATTATCCCTAGGCATTAAACATAACGAAACCGACAGCCCTTAAAGCGTTAAGACCTCTGAATTTGAGTTATGATAAAATTTCGGTATAAGAAGAGTCATTCTCAGGGTTGTTTTTATACATTTCTTTTCTATTAAAAAACGTCTGGTTTAACTTGTATTGTTTTTTACTTATTTCAAACATGGGCCGCATTGTAGTCCAAAAAACAAACATAATGAACAATCGGGGGAGAAACATTTCGACTCATTTCCGCCCATATCTGAACCCTGGCGTACTTAACGCGCGCGCATACCGGATGCTGGCTGTTGCCGTGTTTTATTGTGACGTTTTTGTCGCCCATTGAACCGGTCTAAATATATTCTATACCTTTTTTTTTCTTTCGTCTGCTCCTCCTCGTGTCAGTACGTGCGTGCTGTGTCTATTTGACGAAGGGTGTGTTCTCTGTCTTTCTCTTTCCCGTACCGACCGACCGCACACACAGTCATTAGGACCTCCACAAAACTATTTGTCCATCACACACACACACACTCTCACGGTAGTGCACACACACATACACATTTATACGTTTCTTTCGCACCACCCTCGTATTTTCGTGCCGCCGTCAATTTACACGTTTCCATTTTTTATTGTGTACCGCGCACACAGTGTGTTGTGTACACTCTTCGCTGTGATCGAGCCGAGCACGACGGCGCATTCCATACTCGTACAATAAAAACACAACCCTCAAACTACCCCCCCGGCCGAATCATCTGCTTGCCGACTACACTACATACTATGAATCGACGGACTCCCATTCACAAAACTCACGTATATTCCACGAACCGTTTTTATTGTTACATGTCGTACCGGTTGACACGTTTCTTGTGCATT